CAGTGAAGCAATGTCCTCCACAACTAGACTGAAGAACAAAACGACAGCAACTTGTCTGTTCCCCTTCCCCCAATTCCCCAGCACTGTTCCCATCACCCCAATTCTCCAATAAAAATCTTTAAAAAAAAAAAAGAAAATACATCTTGCTATTTTGTCATCTTTCGTAGCTTTTTATTTTGTATATGCTGCAAGAAATCTAAATATTATGTAGTAAAATTGGTGAGGTTGTTTTTAGTTTCTTCCTGTAAAAATATGCTTGGATAAGACTTTCACCCTTTTATTTCTAATACAATCATCTGTATTCTCTTCTAATTACGTCATAGTTTATTCTTACTAAAACCAGAAGTATATTGTATATAGCAGTGGCTCTCCAATCTGTGTGCTAATTTACAGAAAAGTAGATTTAGTGGGTCTGAGGTAGAGCCCAGGTCTCTGTATTTTTTATAAGAGAAACACCAACATATAAAATACATAAAAATTTTTCATGTTAAATTGGGGAAACAATCCCCCCCGTGATCCTTTTGGAATTGGAAATCATACTTTCTAGAGAAGTGAACACACTTACTGAAGCTTACATAGTCAATCAAACAGAAACCCAGGGCTTATAATTGGGCCATACTTTAAAAAAAATATTAACTACTATCTGTTTCTAGAATTAACAGGACCAATATAACAAAATATTAGGCTTTATAAAGGCAGTGTAACAGAAATCATAGTATCTGATACATACACATATACAGAGGGAGCCAAAAAATGTATACACATTTTAAGATACCATCTTAAAATGTGTATACAGAGGCAGCCAGTTAGCTCAGCTGATTAGAGCACAGTGCTCATAACACCAAGGTTACTGGTTTCATCCCCATGCCCTCCACAATTAAATTGAAACAACTATGTGACTTGGAGCTGATGAGTCCTGGAAATACACACTGTTCCTCAATTTAAAAAAGAAAAGGTGTAGGGGCCGGCTGAGTGGCTCAGTTAGTTAAGAGCTCACTCAAGAGTTTGAGCTTTGAGCAACAGCAGTTCGATTCCTGGCCTGAGCTGCCAACAGGTGTCAGGATGGCTCAGCTTAAAAAAAAAAGTGTATTTTTTTGGCACACAGCCCCCCCTCCCCACTACCTATATGTATATGCATATACATATACAGTATTTTAATGACTTACAAAGTACTTTTGCATGTTTCTTTTTGATGTGGGTGGAGTAGAAGTTAAGTGTCCTAGCTTGAGCTTAAGTCTTACTTTCCTCTTTAGTGTAGCCAAGTTGAGCAAGTCAGCTGAATTTATAAGGCAAGCCTGCCAGAAGCCCCTGAGAGAGAACTCACCCTAAGGCAAGTGCAAGGCAATTAAAATCATAGTTATCGTTGGAGATTATTTACGATGGAGGTTCCAATTCTATATACACAACATTGTGTCTGGCTCACAAATTTGTCTCATAAGCCCAGGTCCAGGTGAACTCATGTTCCAGTCCAGTGGAGAAAAAGGAGGCTTCAGGGAAAATAATGCAAATGTCTATTTTGCTAAGAATTCTTTAAGACATTGAGATTTAGGCAGCATTGGGATGGTATCCACTTGGATAAGTGTAATATTAAAGCTAGAGAAGGGGCATTCACCAGGGACCTGTAGGAGACACAGTTCAGCTTTGGCCCAGCAGGGACTCTGAAGCAACCAGTGAGGCTCTGCACTAGAGGACTTGCTGTAATGGAAGCCGTGGAAGAGGCAGGACCCAGAAGGGGCATCTGTGACCAGCACACATGACAGTATCCAAGGGAAGAGAATAGGACAGAAACAGAATGTGGCACTCACCTGGAATCTCACAGGAATTGTTTGTGAGTGCATGTGAGCCCTCCTTTGGGTACCAACCAACCCCAGGACTTGAAGGGACTCTATAGGGGCCAAGGTCCTGCATGTTGCAGGTGGGGGTAAAAACACACAGCTCACACCATCTTTGTGGCATTTGGTTCCACAGCAGCCCTGTAAGTCAAGTATTACTCCTATCCAACTGGGAATAGAATGACCCTTAAAAATAAGTACTTAGTTTCTATTTCTGCCTAAGAGATTCAGAAGAAACATATGGAGATTTACTTTAAGTTTTGACAAGTATTTATTAAGTGCCACATTGTCTTTATAAACTGATAGACAGTTTTTAAATTGCTTTACATTTCTCCCCATTATATTGGGGGTTTTTTGCAACACAAATGTGTTCGTCTTGAAAGAAATGAGAAGTTGCAACAAAGCAAACATGGAAAGCAAACAGACAAAAAATGACCTATTATCTTACCACACACAGATAGCCACTGTTAAGCCTTTGCAGTATATACTTTCAATTTTTCTTTGCATATTAATATATAAATATACATTTTTTACAAAAACGGGATCCGACATATACTTTTCAAAAATCGCTTTTTTTTTCACTTCACAATATATAACGTCCATGTTGGCATGCAAATAGGTGAGACACGTGACTGGAAGAGCGAACTGCAGATGGGGGAGGGGTGGAAGCCCAATTTTACGACAGTTACAAGTGACACACCTTAAATAAAGCCACACACAAAATTAAAATGAAGAAAATGGCGAGAGGGATACGAGAAAATGTAAAGTTCAGGTGGCAATACTTAAATCAGGACAACTGGCATAGAAGGCCTGACACATCATTACATAGGATAAGGACGATTCCGTCTCGCTTTCCAGTGCATGATCATTAATTTGTTTCGTACTCTTTTCATCTCTTCCATCTCCTCTGCTACCTTTATCATCTCCTCGTTGCTCAAATTTCTCCCGTGTATGTCTCCTCTAAACTGCGGGCGAGAACGAGCCAGCCTTTCTTTAAAGCTTCCTTCTTCCAGCTTATGTTTTCCCACTCCACAAGGAGGCTGCTCCATGGGAGGGCGCGCCTCAAACAGGTCCTTGCGAGAAAGGCGTTCCGGATGGGGGCGCTCCTCGGCCACCAGCATCTCGGGCAGGAGCTCGGGCAGGAGTTCCTCGGGAAAGAACTCCTCCTCTGAAGACTGCTCCTCGGAGGACTGCTCCTCCGGACTCGGCTCTTCGGATGACGGCTCCTCGGGATTCCGGTCTTCGGAAGACTGCTCCGCGGGAGGCTGCTCCTCGTCTGTCTTGGGCGCGCTCTGTGGCTGTTCTTCATTTGCTTGGCAGGATTTTTCCATGTTGGGAACGGTCTTCATGAGCAATTAATCAGAGGAGACAAGAAAGGCAGAGCCGAGTCAGCATATTGGTAGCTGGACCAAAACCCCGGCCTCGGGATCCAGTGCTTACTTGCCTTTTCCTGATTCGGGGCCCAGGTCCTCCCACCTACGCAGGCCGAGAGGCTTAGGTCTCGGGGACCCTGCCACGTCTCGTGTCCCCCCCCAACCCTGGCTTGCCCCCTCCTTCCCGAAAGCCCACCATTTTCCCAGCAGGCCTTGCCCCAGGCCTCTCTCACAGTGGTAGGGGCGGGGCGGCGTCGCCGCAGCCTGCTCTGTTCCCATCGGCGTCCTCCCTGGCACCCCATCCCGGTCCCCTGCTCACCTCTTCCCGGACCCGGACCTCTCCTGGCTGTTGGCTCCCAATCGTTTTCTCCTTGAGGTGTCCCGCTGTGACCTGCAGACCAGCAGACAGACGCCAGACAGGGTAGGGGGCGGGGAGAGGGGAGGGGGAAGGACTGACTGACACTCACGCCCCTTTTCTGGGCACCAGCTGCCGCCCCCACGCCATATCCTTCTGGTACCCCCGCTGCCTCCTCCCACCCCCATGTCTCCCCCCATCTCAAGCTTTGTCCTCCGTGCCCCCCACCCGGCAATGCTCGTCATTTCTTTTAAGGCGGGAAGTGGAAGCGAAGGATTACTTAGAAATTATTTCTAAGTGTAGCTTCCTCCCATGGGTGGCCCACTTACCTCCCCACCCCATCCCACCCCCAAGACCACCATTTTCTGCACCAAAGTGCGTGCGCGGTGCTGGCATAGGGCATAGGCCTGGCTTCTGCCATCCCGATCCCAGGGGTTACGGGGCAGGACTGGTACACCGATTTCAAAGGACCAAGGGAACTTACTTATTTCTGCTTTTCCCCTCGACCAAAGGGCAATACTCAGATGGTGTGTGGACAGGCAAAAAGAACCAGGACGAGAGGGACTTGGGCAGACATAGGCTCCTGGTCACGTGAGAGCCGCGCGTCACCGCGGAGCTCAGATCCCCAGTTATCACTTTGACCCCGCGGCCTTGCTGCAGGAACCTGCTAGTATTTCCTGACCCCCAACGCTCCAGGCATCAACACCTACCTCTTTGTTTATGTTTGCTTTTTCCTGGTTACCAGAGGCAGCATCCAGTGTTGGGGATTATTGCCTTTTGCTCCCCACCGTTTCCCCTGATACCACCTGTCCCCCTCATTCTCCTGTCATCAGCCATCAAGGCCCATTATGTTTCCTACAGTTCAGATTCTGCACTGAAATTTGACTATTTCTCCTTAATGAATCAATATCATATGCCACCTCTCTCAGTTTTAATCCACATCCTCCATGATCATGTTCATTTAGGCTCTGTCAGTATGGTTTTCATCTCTTGTGACTTTCTTGGGAGATAAGCTTTCACTTTTCCATGACTTCATGATTTTATTTTTTGTGAGCCCCAGACCTATATCACAAGTAGAAGCTCAAGTCTAAATTGGTAATCATTCAGTTCTAGAACTCTAGAAAGAATTGTTTGTAAATTTAAACAGACCAAATACTTTGAATTTCATAAATCAAAATACACATTTATCCAAGTACAAAAAATATGAAAACTTATATACTATGTGAAATGGGAACATTTTTGGTGGAGAGAATGACATTATTATATACAGAAGGTGCCAAAAAATGTATATACATTTTAAGAAAGGAAAACTATTAAAATTATATACCAGTAACAAAAGATGAATACAAGTCACGTTTGACTCCTGCAATTATAAGAGGTGCTCAAAGTGGTTACCATCAGTGTCCAGATACTTCTGATTACAGTGAACTGCTTGAGCAATGTTGACCAAAGTGACCACTTGTATATGTTTTTTTGGCACCCCTGGTGTGTATATATATATATATATATATATATATATATATATATATATNAAACCTTATAGTACGGCTGGCCGAGTGGCTCAGTTGGTTAAGAGCTCACTCAAGAGTGCGAGCTCTGAGCAACAGTGGTTCAATGCCCGGCCTGAGCTGAGCTGCTGCTGAGCTGCCAACAGGTGGCAGGATGGCTCAGCTAAAAAAAAAAAATTAAAATTAATAAAAAATAAAACCCTTATAATAAATTCATTCCATTTTAGCCAGCTTGAATAAGATTGTCTCTCTCATCAAGGGGTGTGGTTGATAGAATACTCAGACAGATGTATGTCATGTACATAGAAAGAGAAAATAATAAAATATATGCCATTTCAAAGATAATTACAAATATATATATGAATACTAAAGGTATTTGAATGTATAATATATAAAGTAATATACATATATACTATATAAAAAGTAAATTGATACAGTATATAAAAGGAGATATACACATAATGCAAGTACACGCATGTTAATATTAACAATTATTTTCTCTCGGTAGAGGAACTATAGTTAACATATTTTCTTTTATACTTTTCTCCATTTGCAGATATTTTCTAGTACAAACACATAAAACTTCCACAGTCAGAGAAAAAGTAAAAATAATATAAGACCACTAAGTTTAAACACACACACGCACACGACTTAAAACAGAGAAAAACCATCTAACTCTTTATTGCTTCTCGTGCCACCTCACCCCTCAGGAAGAGACTGATGCTGTGTCTGTCCAGGTTGAGTCAGAGTTGAGGCATTTCCCTCTCCAATATCAAGTTTTCTTCCCCCAACCCCTCAATAGTTTCTCTCCCTCCCTCTTGTGTTAGCTGTGTTCAACTCGCAGTTCTCGATCTGGTCACCAGACGGCGTGCTAACCACTATTTTCTAAATACTCTTCAAAACAGGTATTGTCTTGGTAGAGGTTTAAAGAAAAAGTTCACTTTTACATACAGGTTAGGAATCAATGCATTCAGTAGAATTCCACCTTCTGTTTGAAAAATACATACTCATAGAAAAAGATACACAATTGGATTCTTCATTCTTCATTTAATTCAATAAATATTCATAGGGTGCTGACTCTGCCAGGTATCAACAGCCACCATCCGTTATTTCCATGCCAATTTCTTTTCCGAACTCTGGACACTTATATCTAACTGCCCTCCATCTGGAGAAAGATAATACTGTGAAAACTCACCCAAATGCACAATAAGGATACAATATTTAGTAAGTCTAAACAATTATTCCCTAAGCCTTAGAAAGCTACAATCTAAATTGGGGGCAGTGTGGTAGAGTGGGGAGAAGGCAGAATTTGATTCCGACAAATCTGAGTTAGAACACAGGATCGGCCTCTTATTTACCTGTATAATCTTATGATGGGTGACGATTTGTCTGAGGTCTACCCCCATTTTCGGGGACTACTTCACTGGGCTCTGGGACAAGGGCTAGCCCCTGCTACTTCAGCCCTAAGTTACCCGGTCAGGCCCAGGTTGGACATCTGCCTCCTCAAAGACGACCCCAACCAATGTTTCTAGTTAGGAATCCTTGGGAGGGGGGGTGTTCCTCTCCTCTCCTCAAAAAGTTCCCCAAAATAGAAAGGGAAAGGAGGGAAAGGCAGTGTGCTCTGATCTGTAATGGGGACAGTCGTCCTGCAGGTAAGTATGTCCAGCACAGCAATTCCATTAGCCTAGGAAGGTCTGGTGCCCGCTGCAGGCTGGAGCAGAGAAACCGAAGTCAGACCACCCTGGAGAGGAGTGTGGTTGGGGTGAGCCCTTCCATAATCCCACCTGAGCGCCACCCCTCAGTGTCAGGTGAATGGATTCGTCTTGTCTGTAAAACTGCTGGTGAGTTAATGGACCATCTCACTCCAGCCGGAATCCAGCCCCACCAGCAACTGCCAAGCTGCCATAACTTTGAAGACTGGTCTACAGATGAAGATTCCGCCCAAATGACATTACACAGTGAAATAATAAAAACAAAAACAAAGTCAAGGGCACATGGCTGGCTTACCATTGTGTGGGTTGATAACCAAAGGAGACTTTGAATTTATTTTGATGCATTTTACTTATATTGGAAGGAAGCAATGTAAGACATTACGTAATGTCTGTCACAGAAACTACATCTTGCGGGCCGGACGAGTGGCGCGATTGATAAGCACTGGCTTGGGACGCCAGAGGGCCCCGGTTTGGATCCCACATATGAGGGCCAGTGACACAGCCCTCCACAGCTAAGATGCTGAACAACAGCTTAACCTGGAGCTGTGCTGCCATGAGTCACTGGTGACGGCGTAGGCTGCAGCCCCTGTGGCAGTGAGTTGCCATGGGCTACCGTATGTAGCAAGCAGCCAGCGAGAGCAGCCAGCAGCCGCAGTGAGCGGCCGTCCAGAAGCCGGCAACTGATCTGCCTCGCCCGGGAAGAGCGCAATGATGGTGCCANAGATCTTACACCCCTTCTAATAGATATATCACAATAATTATGTTTTATACACTAAAGGTAATTTTAGTCACACTACTAGTCTCTTAGTAAAGATCAAAGTACTCACCCTGTAAATCTTGAGATCCTGCTTAGACAATCGTTTTTTAGAATAAATGTTGGGTGGTCATGGTAACCATCCTTTAGGCGATTATGTAAAGGCTCAGGCCTTGGTCACTCACAGTCATTGTAGGTGGAGGGATTTGGGCATAGTTGGGCTAAGTTAGTCTTTAGCATAGAAAAGGTATAGCTGTACCCTGGAGCATAAGAATTATGAGGAAGTAAAACCCCGATATTAATGAAACAATGGTTAAACTGCCAGGTATAAAAAGGGGCATGATGTAAAATAAACTGAGACACCTCTTGAGAAAGCGCTCCTGTGTCTCCAAGCGTTTTTTTTCCTCGCTGACTCCGCCTCCACCTGAAGGGACCCCTGGAGCTGCGGGAGCGGGTCTCCCGCACACAAGGAAACAGTACTTGTCCTCTAGAGACTTCTGGGAACTTCATCATTACTGTGCCCAATATGTGCCCCACATGAAGACAGTTGCTTTGTATAGGCCAGTGGGCCATCCCACATGCCCCCTCACCAGTTTGTGAGGTAGGAATTATTAGCAGGTCAATAGGAATTTGGGGATGATAAGTGTCCAGTGGGGACTGGAGTTGTTAGAGAAAAATTCAAAGAACAAGTAAATGACCAAATTAATCTATCTTATTTTCAGATTTCATCTTGCCATTCTCCTGTTCAACCACTCTGGATGGTAACCCCACAATCCACTGAATATTCTTAGATTCCCTATCCTGACATTCAGGGCATTTTAGGATCCAGCCTGAGTCACATATTCTTAGCTTTGTCAATCATTTTGTTTATCTGCTCCAGCCAAAAGAGGCCCTTAATAAGTTTGACCCAAACATGCTTTATACTTACCCACTCATTCTCCTAGAATGAGTAATTTCCTCAGATCTGGTACTATAAAGAAATTGGTAATATAAAGTAATGTACACCTCATAAAGGAATTGCTCCTTGGGATGTTTCAGGAACATAAAAATAGACCACAGATG